CACCATACTCAGAAGCACTGGGTATTTTCTTTGCCTCTCAAGGGTAAATGGAGTGGCAGGGGAGTGAAGGGACCATAAGTATATGCTGCTGGAAATGGGGGGATCAAAGCAAATCTGTTACTTTGCCATGAAGGTGCAATGCACAAGTTCACTTTAAAACTTATTCTACATGCAACAGCTTGAAGCTAATGTTTAATGGCACTTTACTCATATCTGGGGTATTGCATCTGTCAGATTTTGCATGAACGTTAGGAGCCAGAAACTGATAACATGCTGCAAATTGCACAAATTTGGAAAATATGAAATATTAGCTTCACCTGTCTAGTGCAAGTTGGACAACAAAGGCAGTGGGTAGGTGCTCTAAGTCCCATGAAATTTTCAGTAATAAGGCGAAGTAAAGTGCAATTTGTGTGCAGGGTACTTTTCATGTGAACTGTCTGGAAAGATGTTAAAGTGCTAAAAATAAACATTGCAAACATGGTGGTTACCCAACAGTTACTGTGTGGCTAAAAATGAACACTGAAAAGAATCAGTGGGGCATTACCTCTATTTGCAATATGAGCATATGCATTAGGGGTAGCCAATGGCTTCTTGTGATACCTCACTAGGGGGTACTAATATGAGCAAAGCCATAGATATCTGCAGTCTTCTGTTCCCTTGTGTAATCCAATTTGTGCAATCCACTGCATGTTATCAAATTATGGGGACCCCAAACAAACTCTTATGTCTTTATAATTGAAAAAAAGGATCCATTTATAGTCTGGTTACTACTATAGTTCTCTGAATTAACAAAAAAAAAATCAGATGATCATATGGCATAGGTACCTGTCGCATTGTCTGTCAGACATCTGTATGTACAGGCCACACATACTGGCATTGCAGACTGCATTATGGGAGGCAGAGCAGAGCTCATGAATCCACAGAAATGCAGACCTCATATATGGGTTTTGTGGTTCTACCGTGGTCTTCCACATAAGAAGATAAAGCTGCAGTAAGGGATCTGAAGTATGTTCCAATGATTCTGGGAAGATGCTCTTTTATTTTTCATATCAGGGTAGGAATACATACTAAGCAAAGCAGTGATTTTACATGCTTTAGTGCATGGTTATATATATGATAATGTATATGGGCAATATGTTCAGTAGATTCCCTTCTCTTAAAGTGTTAATATTTGTAAACAATTTTGGAATGACATGCTAAGCATCCCATTGTGGTCAGTTGTTTGGTAATATGCCTTGCACCCTTAGAATTGGTAAAATGTCTGAAATCAACCTGCTCGTGCACCACACTGGCAGTAAATGCACCTGTCTTAGCTAATGTCATATAGGGGTGCTAAGGGCCATATGGAACCAAATACATACATTTTCGTATTTAATGAAATAGAACAATGTCCAACCTAATTAATCTTCTTCATTGTGTTTGATGCTATACGTAAAATCATCTTCCAGGAATTCAGAGATGTACCACTTTATATAAGTTATTCAGGAATTAAAGGACACTGGAGACTATCAAGATGCCGTTGTCCAAAATACTATATAAAAGAATATTGCTTTATAATTGTACTTTATTTCTGGATTTCTAATTTTTAAATCCTGCTGAAATGAAGAATGAACATTATGTGAGGCATTTTGTAAAAGATTATGCAGTTACTATTTGTGCGTTGATCAGCAAAAAGCTTCAATAAGAATGAACACAACTGGGGGTTGTGACTGTCTCTCCTCTGCATTATATGTTTGTATAGAGCTCACTGGCTTCTAAGGGGCAATGACCATAGGATAATGGATAATCAAGTATATGCCTGCATACAGATCATTAATCTCCATGGCGGAAAGGACAGTCCATGGTCACAGGTGCTCTGCTGTAATGGCTGGGCAAGGATTAATCTTTTCCTGCCCTAAACAGAATGGATATTGGACAGCCAAGAAACTACTTGCGTGCACATCTTTAGGTGAAAGTGTTGGTGACACAGCAGAAATGAACAAGTCTCTAAATCCCCTGTGAAGCTATGGCCCTCTCTAGTGCAAAAATGTGGTAATGCAACTTAAAATTGTTCTACATCACAAATTTAACATTAAAATTGGTTACTTGATTTACACATACTGTATAACACTTATCACTAATATTTATAAATATGCCCATCAATAATACATAATGTAAATATCCATCAATTACTCCTATATTTCATGACCTCTCATGAAGTTCATTTTGTCAACAAATCACACTTTTCTCTGTTAAATCACAGTATAATTATTTTAAAATGGATTAGAAAAGCTAAACTGTACTTATGTGCATGTATACAGTTCTGATTTTTATTCTTCCTGAACGATACATAACTCATATTTTATTCACAGTATAAAAAGACAACAGAAAGAGTTGTCAGACTAAAATCATAGAAAATCATAGAAACCAGCTTGCTGTAAAATACTGGGCAGCCCACAGCAAAAGGGAAAACTATGGTGCAATAAAAAGAAGATATCTGCAGGCATATAAAGCACTAACAGTGCTTCATTAATGGCTGTCCAGTCAATGGGCCATGTAAACTAGAAATAAGAGCAGCCTTTGATACATCAGACAGTACAAAACAGTCTTAAGAAAAAGATATAAAGAGAGTACCCATGATCTTCATGCAATAACAGTTTAGCCCTCTATGGGCACTCATAGCACACTAAAAACTTCAGGTAGTGAGATTTAGCCAACAACTATGCTACATAGACTTAGCCCTACTGGAATACAGGTGGCTGTAAATGGATTATTATCCCTTGGGATGGTCAGGGCACTTCTGAGTTTGTGGTGCTTGCTGGAGTTGATTGCAGGAAATTCTCTAATTCTTTATTTATCCAGGAAAAAAGATTGAAGTAGCAAAAGTTACATGCAATGCTGTCAGCCTCAAGAGGCTCATGTCGAGTTCCAGTGCAGGTACAAGTGGCTGGAAGATCGACAGATAACAGGAAGCTATCTACTTGACCATTTCTTTTACTGCCCATGTACAGCCTGAGGGAGAGACAAGACCCGGAGTGTTACCTAACTGCAGCAGAGAAAAATCAGATCTCCTGCTCTGCCAGACAGGGCTGTGTGGCAAACCAGCATAAATCTCAGAACTAGATGGACAAAAGTACAAACCCTTTAGCATGTAAAACGGCCCCAATATACAAATTTCTTCTAGGTATTTAGCAGTTTGCCTGGAGTTCAGCTTTAAAGCAGGCTAAATCTGTTAGATTGTGGAGTGATCTATCTAGCAACTGTTCTGGGTATGCATGTATCTTTAGGCAGCTATGGGCAACCTGCTAGAATGCCTTATATGTGCCCCCATCTTACATAAAAGACTGCATAGTTTTAAAACCAAAATTATAGAAAAGAAATGGACATCCATACCAAGGATGCAAACTATGATGTCAGACTTCACACCCAGATATACTAATGATTATTAGTATGCCAGCAGTAACATAAGGGTAATATAATCAGAAACCGAAAAAGCCTGTTACTTATTATAGTAAACCCATGCTATTCCTCTAGCTATGCCATCCAAGAGTATCAATGCATAGAAGGTGTTGTAAGTACTTTATTGAAAGTGCTTTAATAGTATGTCTTTTCTGACACAACAACATAATTTCTTCTTTCTCAAATGCCTAGAATTAGATTTTTTTTCTTTTGGATAACCGCAGCTATTTTTGTACCTGCTTTCTAGGGATTTCTAGAGATCAGTGTCATGAGAGAGAACTTACAATGGCTTCTATGTGCAGGTACTGTTAGATGAGATAGCAACAGGAATGGCATGGGTCACGTATAGTTTTCAGGATATATTTTATATTATTTTATTTAAAACAATTACCTGATGGTGGAGATTATTCTCCATAAAAAGGGTCTGGCCAAATATGGAGAGATCTCCTTCACCTGAGACAGACATCCCCTATTCGGTGCATTTTGCACAATGCCTAATTACCCATTAAATATTAATGCGAGTTTCAGGCAATTCATCTGTTTAATGGCAGAGATGAAGCGAAGGATAGACAACGTTTTCCAATCTTCCTGATCTCATTGGGCGCTAACACACCATATACAGTAATAGTGTCATGTAACCATGCGTGGTCACCTTTGTCTTTCTGGAACTCCCAAAGAGCTGAAATTATAAAAATAGCAGCTGTTCTCTTGTCTACACTGCAGTTAACTAATAGTGGGCCGATCATGGTGGGCCCCAGGCAAAAATAGTTCTTGATTTTGCTCAAAAGTTAAAAAAACAATTATGGTTAATAATTGCACTGGGAAGAAAAACTTGTGTTCTGTATGGCTGTCTTCACATTAGGAAGATGTTGGCTAAAATCTCTGCTATCCACCATATGTGGTGAGTGTCCACATTATTCAGCATACTCTGGTGTGTCCACCTGTTTCCTATTACTTCTGTGTTCATATGTGATGTTAGACAATAATCAAGGACGTCATTTATCAAAGTGTAATCAAAAAGGACTTTCTGAGTTGGCCAACTGCATTCAGATTCAAAAGTTTCTTCTCCAAACGTCATTTTTCCATTCATGTTAAAATCGAACTGGTTGCTGTATCGCAACGAAGACAATTCTTCTGAAAAATGTTATGATGTACAAGGCCTTTGTGTGCTTTACACACTTCCTGATCCTCATCTAATTTTTGTTATGCTTTTTAAGCATCTTTGCCCTAGTCATCTCCAAATCTGGAAAGGTCAATAACGATGTTTATGTATAAAGTTGTGCATCTGTTCTGAGTCCGATAACATTACTGATGTACACGTGTACAATCACAAATACATGTAGGAAATGTTCAAAAACTCTGGTGAGCATTAAGCTCATACATCATCATGCAAACATGGATTGAACATCCCTTTAGTTTTAGTCAATATTTCACCTCTGTGTGAACCCATTCCTTCCCAGGTGATGGTTCCTTATCTGTTCATGGAGAGCATGATCAAAGAGCCTGAGCACTTGAGCTCTCCAGGAGTGTCTTACACAGGTAGAATTTATCACTTCATCTAGTCAGTCAGGAAACCTCTGACAGGCCTTCTTCCAGCGGCAGGCTGTACACCATTTATCCCGATTCTCCATTCCGTACACTTTACGGCATTTCTTGCCTTCACCACGAGGTTTCCTGAACAGAACAAGGAGGCGGTATTTTTTTTATTTCAGAACAGCTGGACCTAATCCATAACTCATATAAATGTAAGTCAGGGGAGAGATACACAATAAATAAAACATGAACATTGTAACTGGCATGTCTGTATGTGTTTGAGCTCTTCTTCCTAAAAAATGAAATATCTTATTCATCAGTCAACTTGATGGAAGTTATAAAAGCCAAAATGTCTATTTTAAGAGAAACAGTTGGTTGGACTCTCTTTTAAATCTTTTTTCATCTTACCCTACTCATCCTACTAAAATCACCCCCCTTGCTGTTACAATTCCTAATGTGGACTGAACTAAAAAAGTGAAAATTTTCTAACCTATTGGGAACAACTAGAAGTTATAGGAACAAGTAGGAGTGCTAATTCCGTCTAAAAAGCACCCTGAAAAATCTACCTTTGGTCTTTTATTTTATTTTTTATACTTAGGTCCTCTTGTGTTTTGAGCCTCAAAGCTGCATATTTCCAGTGAGATCATCTAAGGCACTGCTACCTGTGACTGCTATTCTCACAAGATTTAAAGTGAGACTTGATGATGTCACTACTGTGCTGCGCACTGTTCTGCTTGCCGGAGAGAAAATTGTACATGAGGACATGCAGTGCAAGGATCTCCCTGCTCTGGCTTGATTCATTCTGTGAATCTGTGCTTTCTCCACCTGTCCTGTTACTGCTTCAACATTCCCCAACCAGTCATCCATTAATCAAGGGGGCAACTCTTACACGAGGCAGCAAAGCCCTGTATCTCTACCAAGATGTCTGTCTCCACACAGACAGTGCAGAGAAAAGGCATGGTAAGTCAGGAATGGGAAAAGATCAGCTGCAGGGAGGCCACAGGCAATTCTGGTAACAAATCATTTGCCCTCCTTTTTTAGGAAAAGCTTAAAGGAACAGGTCCTCTTTTAAGTATTTTGTACTTATTTTGACTCTCCAAGCTGGCAGTGGTTTAGCTAAATGTACCATACCTTGTTACTGCAGAAGTTCTGGTAGAGGAAGATAACACCATCTGAACTGGTTGTGTATGTTCCTGGGGTTTTGTACTGCACGGAAGACAGACCTGAAAACATAATGAACACAAATATTAAGATACAGTATATTACAGAAAAGGGTTTATTTTCAGGATTATGCCAACTGTTGAGTAGAATACAGACTTTTCTAAAACATGTGAAGCTCTCCTAGGTATTTTTAGACATAGACTGATAGTTTGGCAATTCTGGTATTTGTCAGAGCAGACTGGTATTGAGCTCCTTTAAAACAGAACTCAAAAGGGCAAAAATAATATTAACCCTTGCAGTGGGGCTACCCCCGCACTGCAAGGGGTAAGTACTTGTTTTCATCTATGGAAGAAAATAAAGATATACTCACCTGGACCTCAGTGGCTGCTAGACCAATCTCTGCAGACTCTCTCCTCCTCCAGCGACGGAATGTCCCTCAGCATCCTCATGTCCAATACAATGTAGACCACCTGAGTGATGGGGGAACAAGGCTGCAGGGATCAGTCTAGCAGCCAGTTGACTCTGAGATTTAAGGTGCCCATACACTGCACGATTCTCGTGGGAAATCCCGTAATCGTACAAGAATCGTGCAGTGTATGGAAGGCGTGCGACCGTTTTTACGGTACGGTCGCACGTCTTTTGTCTAAGGAGCATGTTCGAAAACCAGCCGAAAATCTTATGATTTTCGGCTGGTTTGTGGCATGCTCGGGAGACAATTGCCGAACGGGCCGTTGTGCGCACGCGCACACTGCCCGTTCAGCTTTGCGGTCATCGCAAGCCCGCCCCTCATACTGCCGAGTCTCCCTGACATATGCTAGAGCTGCAGATGTGCCAGATATCCTCATATCTTCTGGTCATGTCCTGAACTGCAACACTTCTTGTAAGAAGTGAGGCGCATTTCACAACAATGTAAAGACCCAACCTTCTTTTTACTACACCACAACTCTATACCAAAACGCTTGCAAAGAAAGTCGATCTTGCCACACCTTGTCAATGCACCCGATAGTTGTATACCTGCGATGTGGAGGCAACCTCAACCTCCTTCCATTCAGATCTGGCTAAGCAAGAATAATGAGATTGAGATTGAACGTATGGAAGATCTAGTAGTCTCTTCCAAGGGGACACAAGTTCTGGTTCTATTGGAGTGAATTCTTTCTTCTCTCTTCTTTTCTACCTTGCAATATGATGAGCTGTTGAAAGGGAGCTCTACTTAACTCACTGCAGTGCTCTGGGGGCCCGGGATCCGGATGGGGGAACTTGCTCAACCCTTATTCCCTCTACACTGTGTATTTCTGCCTGCCCTCTACACTGTGTATTTCTATTCTCCCTTTCCCATTTGCTATACTTCATTTTTTTCTTGTGTTTTTCTTATATCTGGATGTGTGTTCCTTCCTTGGGAAATTTCTTAAAACTATGGGAGTATGTTGGGAGACTATTGAGTCACACCCTAAAAATACTTATTTGGGAAGGGGTTCCTCTTCCTGTTTTATGCTCACTCCTTTTAATCTACTCTCTGAGTATTCACCTAGCTTATATCATGGCTAGGATTTGGCTATGCAGCTCTGAAAGCACAAATAGGAGATTTGATGGGAACTTTCTACTTTCCCATAGCAAATATTTTGGAATTATATTCTGAATTCACATGTCATACATTTTTGGTAGTATATTTTCTGACGACTGATTGTAACTGTGTTTTTCAAGTATTTTGTATGTTGTTTTTGTGCACCATTTATACTGTATTGAAGATTGAAATAAAGAATGTATAAAAAAAATGTTAAATGACTTTTTTACATACAAATTGACTATCTACAAGCAAAACTGTTCTGCAGTATTTAAAGGGAAGTGAAAATGGTTTTGGGCCAATCTTATTTCATCTATTTTATATGTTTATAACTTTTTAAGTTGTTGTATATCTCTCTTCTTTTTTTACTATATATGAAGTCTTTGTTTTACTTTTAATATTTAATATTTAATACATGGCAAATGATTCCTGAAACTACATCACATCTGATTGGTTTAAAGCTGCACCAGATGCACTGGAAAAGGACCTAACGCTGGATAAGGAAATTTGCTGTTTCAAACGGGCTCATTTTACACCACCGTGTTGCAGTGTTGTGCGCTGAAAAAGTACACCATCCAAAACTTTTTTTTCAGCCCAGCAGGGTGCATCATGGCACAACCACATTGCACTGCATTGTACCTATATAACCTAATGAAGTGTCACTCGTGACATTTCAATAATGTTCTAACAACAAAACAATAAACAGCAATGGGCTGGGATCCTGTGTCTTGTGTCTCCTGTGTCTTGCAATGCACATCAGCAGCCATGCGTTGTAGCGCAGCTGCAGGTGTGAATCGGCCCTAAGGCACTTTTTGTCTGACTTAAGCTGAAACTTGGACTGAGCCTTCTATAAAGGATGAGAGACTAATGAGTCATTTAGCTATGTAAACAACAGGCTTCTTTCATCAAGAAATCAGACTAAAGGCTTTAACCAGGTTTGGACCTTGAACGTAGGAGATCTGCACTAAAAAACCTTCAACAAAGATCATAGGGCATATCTCCTGCATCCTAGTTCTCTTTCCCCATCAAAGCTCCTCTGCTGCTATTATCAGCAATTCCCAGCTGTCATTTTCATCCTTGCTCGGTAGCACAGCAGCTATAGCAACTCCTGTATAAAATGACACTTGCAGAAAGTATCTGCTAGTGTCATTGATAAATACAGTGCAACAATGTATTTACTCTTTTCAGATGGCCTTTGATCTACATGTGACATCAGTTAAAGCGGACCTTTACACTCAAAAATCACATTCTACGAATGCATCCCTCTATGTATGATGATTAATAATAACATAGACATGTCATGTGTAAAATTATGTGATTGTGCAAAATGACTTAAAGTGACATTAAAGGCAAAAAAATTTTCCCTCCCCCAATGTTAGTGTTAGCACTTACCTTTAATTATGTTTCTTAATCCGATCTTCTTTCCTGTCCTTTTCATCTGTCCCTCCAGCGCTGCGGCGGGTCTCTGATCCAGCGCTGACTCCTCTGAGCTTGCTGGCACTTCCTGCCCCACGGTGTCTGCACGGTGTCTCTCCTCGCATCCCGGCCAAAAATCTGAACTGCGCATGCACCCGCCCCAAGATGCTTTGCGGCCACCCGAAAATTTTTACATTTTCGGAAGACACAGGTAAGTATTAACCCATTTCAAAGAGTTTTTGTTTACACTTTTTGCATAAATCTACTGCTTGCTGGCAGCAGATATATGAAAAAAAGCTGAGGCTTTAATTATCCTTAAAGATTGCCAAAGCAATGCACACTGAGATTGCCTTGTCATCAGCAGAGCATTGCTGGGAAATCTCATCTGTAATCTGAGGAGATCTCAGGGAAAGGTCTTTTCCTCCCCTGAGATGATGTGCATGGTCACATGTCCTAGTCACATGTCTAGTTACATGTGCCAGAAATCTGGACATAATAGAAGATCTAGTAATCTCCCATGTCCGCTGTCAGAAGACTGAGGAAGAAAAGAGAAATAAGCTGTGCAAAGAATACAAAGCTGGCAATTATCTAGAAGTATGTGTTTGTAGATTGTCATTACTAAACATTTCTAAAAGGTGTGTCTGTTGTTGTTGGGTTATGGGGTAAAATCCACTTAAAAGCAACTATTAAAGGAAGGGTTAAATATGTTCCTATGCACCCTCTAATTAAACTTAAGTTAACCCTAGTCATTCCTAATTAAACCCTTCTTCCCCCCTTCCCCCATTAACTTTATTTTTTGTTGTCATTAATATTTAATCTTGTTTTAGTTTTTATTTAATTTGTTATTTTATTTGGGGGGAAATGTACAAATTGCTCTTGTCTATAACGGGTATACAGGTGTGAGAGTGGAAGTAATGAAAATGGAGCCTAAAGTTTAACCTGAATGCTTAAATACTGACAGTAAAATATTATTATGCTTCTAACAAAAATGTTATTACTTTTTCAGTCCTGACCATGGAATATAAATAAAGAAATAATTTACAAACCACTAAACATTTAATATAATTCAATCCCCTATTCTCTGTCACTGTACACTGAGTGGCCAGATTATTATGACCACCTGACGTTTGTAGGCAAATTAGCTATAATTTCGCGCTGAAGTTGCCAGAGGGCCAGACCATTATAAATAGGGAAGCAGGTTGTTTACCACGACAGTAGAAGTGATTTTTTTCTGAAGATACGGATAAACAACGCGATTTAACAACCTTTGAACGTGGGATGATTGTTGGCGCTCGGAGCCATGGAGCGAGTATCAGCAAAACAGCAGAATTCGTTAAATGTTCTAGTGCAGCTGTTGTTAAAGTGTTTAAAGACTGGACTGTCAGCCGAAAATCAGGGTCTGAACGTGCGAATTGTGGCCGTCAGCGACTAGTCAATGTTAGGGCAGAACGGAGAGTGGCAAGACTGGTGCAAGACAACAGAAGGGCAACAGTGCAATGTCAGATTCCTCGCATCACCTTTCAACATCTCGTGGAGTCACGCGGCGGCCCAACGAAGTCATCTCGTGGAGTCAACTCGTGGCCCAACAAAGTACCAATGGGGTGGTCATAATAATCTGGCCACTCAGTGTATATGTTGAAGTTGTCCATTCACACAAAGGGTGTGGGACTACCTTATTTCCTGTGTCTGGGTATTGTCTATAAATACTAATAGTTCAAAAAGAAAGAAATTATGCACAAAACAAGTATACAATCATTATAAAATAAAAGGACAGACTAGCAGATTTTAGCATAAAGTGTATTTTGAAATGCCAGATTCTTTGTTTAAGCTGGTTTGCTCTGTCTCTACAAAGGGCTCCACAGCTGTGATCAATTGTAGTCACAATGTAGGAATAAATGTAGGATAATGAAGTCGGAATAGCAGCAATTCTGTTGTCTAGCCATAAAGTCAACAATTACATTCATGAACTACCCAAACAATTAAACAATTTCTGTGGCACACAAGATGTGATTTCCAAGCCATGCCTAATTTTTTGGACTGGGTATGGTGCCATTGTTAAGCACTGAAAAGACAGTACCTATGAACGGGGCCAATAGCACTATAGATGGGCCACTCCTGAAGGATTGTATGAAATTGTTCTGAGGCTTCTAAATGTAATTAGAATTTTTGTTCAACTTCCTCTTTTGTATGTACGAAATAATCATGCTCTCTATATGGAATCCAAATTAATATATTGAAATGGGTATTGGGTATGGGTATTATGTTATTATGACATTTGTGCCAAGCAGGTCAGAAGCTGTTACAACTCAAGGGAAAATAATTTGAACTAGCAGATATCATGACCAGGACCTGATAAGAGAGATGTTTTGAATGTTCTATATTATATAATGCCAGTCAATTTTTCTTTCATAGGTAAGCCTTGTAATATGAGTATAGTTATAAAAAATTTATTATTAAGGTGTTTGGTTAAATAAAAAGTTTAGTTTTTGTATAAAAAAAAATACAGATTACAGCAATGAAGAAGAAACAGGTGATATATTATCCTTTCTATGGAGTATTCTTGTTTATTGTTTTTTCAGAACACAAAATAGATCCCTTTTACCTATCCTTCATCTCTCATTCTCCTCTCCACTCTAGATGCCACCATCTAATGCCTTTGTCAATCCCACAGGGTCCAGTGTGTGCATCCACTGCTTTTTGTAATAAACATTTTGGTCTCCAATGCTCTGCTCATCCCTTCATATCTTTCACTTCTGTTCACAGTTGAAGCCCAACTTCAACTGAGGTTCTAACCCTTCTTTAACCAAAACTAAAAAAGGTTTATAGAAGAACTCCGGGCACAATTTTCCTTAACCCTTGCAGTGGGGCTACCCCCGCACTGCAAGGGTTACGTGCCTATTTTTGTCTAGGTGCTAAAAGAAAAGTTATACTCACCCAATCCTAGGAGTTGGCTTGCTCTTAGACCGGTCTCTGGAGCCTCTATCCCCTTCCGCTGCAGTGGTCTAAGGTCCCGTAAATCATCATGTTCTATACACAGTGTATGGTTTGCGTGAGTATAACTTTTTTTAGTACCTAGACAGAAACAAGCACTTAATCCTTGCAGTGTGGGGGGTGTAGCCCCATTGCAAGGGTTAATAAAAATGTTACCTAAAGTTCTTCTGTAATTGCAGATGAGGATTAATGTATCCATATATACTGTATGAGCTAAATGTTACCTAAAGCTACGGGCTATAGCTGAATCAGGAGACCACTTAATTTCTCTGGTTACTATCTAACCCTGTGTGACTGCTTTTTTGCTATACCCATTATATCGAATGTCTTCCACTGTCCTACTCTTCATTGTTTCTATTCCCTCCTCATTGCTTCCACTATCTTTCTTTGATCTTCACCAGTCATGTGATCAGTTCCGCTTATGTTTACTCACTGAGGTGCCATTAAAAGTAGTTTGAGGCAGAGGTCGAGAAACACTGAAGTTGTTGACGTTAATTCGCCTTGAGCTTGGAATGTTCACCAAAGGAGTAGCCTAAAAGAAAACAAAAGTAGACTTTATAGTTATGCTATCAGGCATAAGTTACAAAGGTACAAATAAATACTGTGGACCTGTGGGGGATAAAAACAAATCTTAAATGGTGCTGACTGTAAATAGAAGCCACCTCCATGTGCCTGAACACCACCAGTGCTCCTTTGTAGAGCATACCAGGACCCTGAAAACCCAGGGTGCATTTACTAACTAAGAGTTCTGATTACTCACACTGACCCTTCCCACCCTGCCCTTTATATATTACTATTGGCTAGTAGGGTTGTCTATCGCAGCGATAGGCTGATAGTAATTTTTAAGAGGGAGGTGGGGGCAGCGACTAAGAAGCTTGGGTGATAACTGAACTACAGGAAACAATTTTTTAGGAATTCTGGGCTACTCTGCAAGAGAGCTGAGATGGGGTGCAGGCATGTGCGGGTGTCTGGTTTTCCCCTCACAGCTTTGATTAAACAGTTTCTAGAACTAGTTCCACAGTGTTTTTGGTAGAAAGGTTGTACTCAACTTTGGATTGGCCAAAAGATGAAACACAGCTAATGGTGTTATGTTGGAAATATATTAGTGACATCATCTAAATCTTTTGATTTAAATACAAAGTTCTGAAGCTGGGCAATCATGACATGAAAGCTATTCCTGACCATGTTGCATCCATGAAAAAAATAATAATAGCACATCTATGGCTTTGCCGTTATCAAGTTGTCGATCTCTTGCTAAGCTGTAAGAAGGCTGTTGAGCAAACCTTCAACATTATAAGATGATGACGTGGCCCACAACTTACCTCCATTCAGGGAAGCCAATTCCAAATATTGACAGACAAGTGACCAATACAGAACAGATGCAGTCTCATTTGTGACATCTTGTCCCATTTCAGACCCACCCAACACAACAGATATATAACACCAAACCAAAAACCATAGACCAGTCACAACTAAGAACTAATTGGAGATTTTTTTTTGCTGTTCTAAATTCTCTCTCTTACTCATTTTCCAACAGTTCCCGACCTTCAGACTGAGCAGATGAGCTTCTCCATGGTTTCCCGATTCTCATAGTTGTCTTCAGCTTCAAGCCAAAACAAAGGGAGGACACATGGTCCTCCCTGCCCTTGAAGCCATTTCTTTGTGGTGATGAGTTTTGGTCTTTCCTTGTAATGGTGAACGCTCATATCCAGAATTCAGTGCAGTGTTGTTAAGCATGTCTTCTGGGACTGGGAATTAAAAATGAATGATGGACAGTGTACAGGGTCAAACAGAATGAGGTAAAGTAAAAATGTATGGGACCTCTTAGAGCAAAAAAATAAAGACTTGTCAATGAATGGATTCAGCTTATATATATATTTTGTGGAGATAAATATGATAAATATTTCCACCATATATAGAGAATAGTGGATGTCTATGTGACCACTCACAAGCACACCAAAAACATCATATTAAATGTCTTTGGTTGCTACATTTAAAGCAAATCCCTAAATGCTACACACTTTAAATTATTCCAGATGCAGTACAACTCTTAACACCAGGTTATTTATCCATATTTTGGCACCATTCTGCTTTTTTTTTTTAAACTCCTCTCACTGTTTATACATAGAAAACCCTTCATGAGACACCCTTTTCCCCCAAGGTATTAGGGCAGGAGAAAAAGCACTGTCCCAGTTACACATGACAAGAAAGAGTCTTTCCAACACGGCAGATAAATGTGGCAGATCATTAACATGTCCAAACCTGATTTTCACTATAAACTTTTATCAGCTCTACGAACCTTACTATGATCGTAGGCTCTATTCATTTTTCTTTACAGAGATGAACTTACGTTGATGTTGATGGTTTACCTGATAAGCATGATCTGAGTTCATCAAGTAGTAGGTGTTTGGAGCTGATCTACTCAGACGGGTATTTAGCTTGGTCTCTGTCTTGGTACAGATTGTTTCACAACTTCCAGCACTGGGAAGGATTATTGTAGACGGAGCCGATGCATTGGTTGGAGATACAGCAGACACGTTGTAGAGCCCTTCGGTGCCAGAGTCATTGTTCAGTCTGATCTCTGTGTAATAAAAGTCCTCTTCACCATCACAGTCATCAGATTCTCCACTGCGGCTGAAGACAGAAACAAAGTTCAAGTGGGTGTATGGAAAAAAAGACATGAGTAGTAACAGTAATCAGCGGCATTGCCTGAATACCTCTGAATACAATGCAGATTCAGAAAACAGTATGTATAGAGCAGAGGTCCCCCAATGCATTAAGTGGTTTCATCTGATAGCATCTATGTCACTCTAGCACACGGTAGCAATCTAGGGTCCAGTGAATAGAACCACAGCCACTGTATTTCTTCAAGAGAGTACAGCACATCGGTGCTGTAGGCTATAGGACAGGTATTAACTCTTTTCTTTACAGGGAGCCCTTTTAAAAAAAGTTTTCATCCAGCAACAGTTACTTTAATCTATCTAGCCTGCTTTAAATCACGGCAATAGCAAATTAAAAGATATATATATATATCTATACACACACAGCATCTGTTATTAGGTGCACTCTATATAAATATCATCAATGTGATCTGGTAAAAGAAATGAACATTTTAGTTGAGTCAGTAGGAAATCTAGGTACAGTGGGTAATAATTTATATCTGTACATTTTTCAAGACAAGTTTTCCAGAGATTCACTCTCATTATCAGGTGAGAGCAGCACATAAGAGCACTAATGGGCTACAATCACCTTAGCCGTGTGAACATCTTCCATTAGCTTGCACCTGTTAATGGAAACATTAGGTTCATAGACTGATTTGTTTGGTTTCTGTCCTGCTCCTTCTCTTGGTATTACCAGTGCGATCTCCTACTGACTGTAAAGGTGAGATCTTCAATTAACAGTTACACAGCTAAAAAGAATGATCATTATAGCAAATACCAGATAAGTCATAGCTGATTGAGTCCACAGAATACAGCAAGTGTTAAAGTTGGTTACCCCAGGTGAATGGTCCGAATGTGCTTCTTGATCCCAGCAGCAGTGCTTAGAATTTTCCCACACTTCTTCCACAGACATTTGAACATTACTTTCATTGAGTTCTATGAATAAACAGGGCATATTCTAATTATTGTGTACAAATGGATGAACAGTTGAAACTACAAAAAAGCTTTGGGGCCCATTTACACCTATGTGTTTAAATAGCCATTGATGCATGTGCACAACTCTGCCATTGTTTATAATGGTGCTAATGCACATGTGTTCTTTTTTGCTATGGCGTCACACCTTATAGGCTTTTGATGGTAATGACAGTGCGTGTCAACACATGACAACCCATCTGCCCAAAAATTTCAGGAAAATTAAGACACATAGGTGTAGGTATTCAGTTTGATTAATAGTATCATTAAGGAACACATTATACTGCAACATAACTGAGTTAAAATACATAATTTTCTTGATTTGTATTTAAATGTCATTTTTAAGAGCAACATTGTAGTTCAAATACTCAAATTCATTATAAATAAGTCTCGTGGACTTGATTAGCTGCAAACTGTATAGTGTATAGTAACAGATATTGCCAACAATAACCAATATATGAACTGATAATTTCTGAAATATGATATCTGATGACGGAAAATTGGCACAAGTCCATCAAGTTCAACCAGAATAACAATCACTTTTAATTGCAACAATTTTGTAAAAATCTAGAGATTACTTTACATTCAGTTCTATGCTGTATGAAACTGTAGTTTCTTATTACCTACATACAAAATATGTATAATTCAACAATGATAGATGATAGAAAACAGGTCATCCTGCAGAAAGAATCTGTCCATCAAAGTGATTGATGTAATGTGTAGCAAACTTATGTTGGTGTGAGCAGGTCTGACAACAGACACATGTAATAATAATGTTATGCAGCCAATGACTAACTTAAAATGACATTGCATCATCAGATTTAATGTTTAGCTAGTTGTCTGCAGCCATACATCATATAGTTTGTGCAGTTGTGCTATAGGTATATGTGAGTGTATTAATATGTATAATATACAGGACTGTGCAAAAGTTTTAGGCAGCTGTGAAAAAATGCTGTAAAGTAAGAATTCTTTCAATAATATATATTTTTATTGTTTATTTTTATCAATTTACAAACTGCAAAGTGAGTGAACAGAAGAAAAATATAAATCAAATCAATATTTGGTGTGGCAACCCTCTGGCTTCAAATTCAGTATCAATTCTTACACTTGCACAAAGTCAGGTGATTTGATGATTAACCAATTATACCAAGCAGATGCTAATGATCATCAACAGGGATCGGCAAGGTGTCCGTACACGGATACCGTTGTCCGTGATTGGCTCTTACAGGGTCCGCCACGGCGAACAGTACAGAATTTGGTACGGTCCGGGCCCGCCCCCCTGTACAGTTGGTACCTTCCTGTGCTGTGCACATGCAGGACAGGTTTTTTTTGGGGGGCAGAGCTTAGGGAATTAGCACTGAGAGCAAGGTGGGAGTGGAGCAGAGCTCACAAGCAATCTTTATATAAATGTTATTTTAAACTTCTTTGTACTTGTGGAACTAGGCCAGAGACTAGACAGAGAAGGGGATTTATCAGAACCGGAGCAGACAAAATCTGGAGCAGCTGTACACAGCAACCAATCAGCTTCACTTGTTCATTTTCAAATCAAACTGAAGAGAGAAGCTGATTGGTTGCCATGCACAGCTGCTCCAGTTTTTGTCTGGTCCAGTTTTGATAAATTCCTCCAGAGCGTTTTTTGATGGTTCTAGTTTAAAATATACCTTGGTGTCCTTCACTAAGGGCTGTACGTGGGAAAATGTCCGCCACAGCCTTGGTCCGTGCCTATCCCTGATCATCAATTTCATAGGTAGGTTGAAACACAATCATTAACTGGAAAAGAAACAGCTGTGTAGGAGGCTTAACACTGGATGAGGAAGAGCCAAACTCTGCTACTAAGGTGAGGTTGTGGAAGACAGTTTCATGTCACATGTCACACACCATGGCAAGACTGAGAACAGCAACAAGACAAAATGTAGTTCTACTGCATCTGCAAAGTCTCTCCCAGGCAAAGATTTTAAAACAGACTGGGGTTTCAAGATGTGCTGTTCAAGCTCTTTTGAAAAAGCACAAAGAAATGGACACCCTTGAGGACCGTAGACACATTGGTCGCCCAAGAAAACTTAATGCAGCAGAAGAAAGACACATCATGCTTACTTCCTTTGACATCAGAAGATGTCCAGCAGTGCCATCAACACAGAACTGGTGGAAACCAGTGGGACCCTGGTACACCCATCTACTGTCCGGAGAAGTCTGGCTAGAAGTGGACTTCATGGAAGAATTGTGACCAAAAAGTCATACCTCCGACATGGAAACAAGGCTAGGCGACTTGACTATGCATAGAAACAGATACTTATCCATCATGAAATACCATTAGAGAGGCATGCGATTGGCCCAAAATGTATTCTGTAGTAGGAGAACGACCCCAAACATATAGCCAATGTCAGTAAGAACTATCTTCAGCGTCAAGAAGAACAAGGAGTCCTGGAAGTGATGGTTTGGCCCCCACAGAGCCCTGATCAGTACCAGTAGGGTAGCCAGTTTATACAATATGGAAGGCAGGTAACGTAGACCAGACAATGTTGATCACAGACAGGCAGATGGCATGTACAATTCAGAAGGCAGGTAACAAGAAGACAGCAAGCACAATTCAGCAGGAAGAAATAAAGTGCTATCAGGCAAGATTCAATAACGCCAATAGAGCCAGTGCTTGCAGTTTATCAGGCAGGAGATGTAACCCAGAGATCTTGGTAGGGCCTATAACAGTAAGGCAGACTGCATGCATAATCCAGCAAGCAGGAACCATAAACCAGGTGCCAGTCATGGGTTGGTAAAAGCAAGGCAGACATTAAATATGTGTACAGGCCAAAACAAACACAGCAGAAATCACCTGTAGGTAAGGAATGTGTAAGGCAGAGTATGATGGCATTCCTATATGTTTACCTCTCTCCTGTGCTTGCTTCCTGTATTCTAGCCATTTCCTGATGTATAAATAGAAGTCATGATGTCTTCCCCAGCAAATGGCACCTGCACTCTTTCATTTCCGGGTACCTTTTCTCATCAGTCCAGTGATCTCTACTTGAAGATTACGTTCAACAGGCTGGCTGGAGTCAACTGAAATCTGATTAGTGACTAAAGCTGACCAAACACCTACACATTTTCTATATATTTTTTTCTATCAGCCTATGGTCAGATGGAAAAAGTGCAACAGATTCCTTCATCTATGCTAAACTGTGTGGATGGAGGAATCTCCTGAGTGGCCAAGCTTCAGTATTTTGCTAGTCGGCCCCGCTGGTTGTAAAAATACCTGAACAATCTGATTGGATGCAGGCATTGTTCAGGTATTTTGACAGCCAGCGGGGCCGACTAGCAAGATACTGAAGCTTGGCCCAGTGGAAGATTCCTCCATCCACACAGTTTAGCGTTGATGGAGAATTTGTTGCACTTTTTCCATCTGACCATAGGCTGATAGAAAAAAATCTATAGAAAATCTATAGGTGTATGGCCAGCTTAAGAGTTTTTGCAATTTTCACATCATTGCCTCAATTTGCATTGCATTAAGACTTGGCATGTAGTAAATATACAGCTGGCATGTGGTGCTACCCAGGGTACTAAAAAAGTTTTCATTTGTTTCATCAAACAAAACACATTTATATGCTATTTTGTATTCTGCCATTGGCGTGTTCTAGAGGCAGGGCACCTGAATAAAAGTTTTATTTTTATCATACTTTTTAACATGTTTCTTTGCGGCTTAACAAAATAGGAGTCTTTAAATGGTGCGGATATTGGGGAAAATGGGTGTGGTTACGGGGGTGTGGCCACTAAAGGTTGTGGCCACTGAGGGGCGCTGTAAAGCTTTCTCGCACAGGGCGGCTAAAGGCCTAAGGCCGGCCCTGGTGCTACCCTGCAATGCTGCCTCTGAGGACACAGTTATGTGCACTGTTGGTCATAAAGGACTACTATGAACATTTTTGATGTGGGGGAAATACTGTTGGAATTTGGACAGCAGTTGTGTACTGCAGGGCTGAGAGAACTACTACATGTGCAGTTGAGAATTGTACATATCTAGTGACTTGCAGAACAATTTATTTTTTACAATAATTGAATTCCAAATATAGTGCACAAACCAGGCTACGTTTGTCAAGAACAATGTGTGATGGCATAGTAAAAAGATCACATTAGCATTCCACAGGCAATACAGCGTGACATATAACACCCGTACATACATTAAAGAGCATTCAACTCATAAAGCAACGTGCACTGACACCAGTGTGGAAGATAGGGTGATCTTGAAATGATATATGGATTGTGCTTCATCAAATCGACCTTGAGATTTCACATTTCAGAAAAGTAGAATTATTGGGGAAGGCTCTGAGAATTACAAGTTTTTAGGATCGGAATAATGATGGCACACAACACTTCTGACTGTCACATTTTAGGCTCAGTCACCTATCACCACCTATACTTCTCATCCTTGTACAGTCCTTTCATGTAAAGATTTCAAATGCCAACGAAAGGCTCAGCACAGCTACACTACAAATTGTTGTATATGAAAGAAAAAAATGATTATGTGCAGCAAAGAGTGGTTTTCTCTCTGTATCCAAGTTGGAAAGATTTTTCTTAATGCATGGCAAGACAGGAAGTGAAGGAAAATATCCCCACAAAAGAAAGAGAATGCAAAAAAAAAGAAAAAAGGAGGTTTTGCCCACAGATCTACTTTAGTCATTACACGGACTTTCTGTTGTAGGTTAATGAAGAACACTATCAAAAAAGATATTTGCAATATTAAATAATAATACATATAATATATATTGTTTAAATTGGGTTTAAAAGGTAAGCACTTTAAGGATGCATCTACACGTAAAATCTATTTCAGGGCTTCCTTTGCCCAATTTTAATAAAATAATGTTCAGGTCACGCAAACGTTTACCTTTGCAGGGTTTTTTTTAGCATCTCACACAAAACAAATGCTCCTGACTTGCTCTTGCAGCATTGCTGCTGGGGCCCTAATCATCAGGCCCTTGACTGTTGTCACACAAGTTTTCTGATCACTTGCAATGCACACTCTGTACACATCTTGCAGCTCCTTGCTGCACTGGCAACTCCTGGGCAGAGACCTCCTAACCCTAACATCCTCCCTGGGTGAAGCCCAGAACCATTGCCAGCATCTACACTGAAAGGGGTGTGCACACCTGCAAAAATCAGCATGCTGGTTCTCAACAAAATGTGGACCTAGGATTGAAGGCTTCATCCCACCCAAGACTCTACAAACCTCTGAGCTCTAGACCTCTGAGCTTTAGAACCCAATCCAGGATTTACCAATCCCTGAAGAACCTGAACATCCATTTTGTCCCCATATGAAACAAGCATCCCAGAGCCCCTCAACCTGCATGGGTTAGAAACTGGGTGACACAAAACCAATTTTCTACTATGACAGGGCACTGACAATGTCACTTTGTAAGTGTAATATCCCTTACACAGTAATAGTTTTAGTATTTAGTTTTAGTATTATTAGCCAGTGTGTCTATTTTTCATACAGTTTCTCTCCCATGCAGGTTGAGGGGCTCTGGGGTGCTTGTTTCATATGGGGAAAACTGGATGTTCAGATTCTTCAGAGATTGGTAAATCTCAGAGGTCTGGAGCTCAGGTTTGTAGAGTCTTGGCCGGGATGCTGGCTCCATGTTCCCTCGCGGCACTGCCACTCAAAGGTAATCTCCCTCTGACCTGAAGTTTTGGTATCGGTGGTATCAGAGCATTTGGGCAAGTACGAGTGCTAGCCCAAATACTCGGCATCGGCACCGATACCAATACTGTAGATGCATCCCTAGTTCTTATAAATATTGATAGCCAGTTATAGTTCCTTCATTTAGAAACAAATCCAGCCCCTTTTTTAGCAGCAATCTACTAAACTGGCTAAAACAAGCTCCTATGTAACACTATTCTACTCTTGCACAGCTCTTACTATAAAGAACCCACGCTACTTTATAAGAAGAAAGAGATGTCAGTGGCTCTGTAAAGAGCTCTGTGAAGAGTTACGGATTTATTTTGACATTTTATTTAAAAAATAATTAATTAAAACATGACACAGTTAGGCTGACCTTTCTTTTTCTTGGGACAGGATCTTCAAAAAGTAGGTTGCTGGTGTCGGTGTCATCAGCATTGTCGTCTGGATAAGCTTTACTTCGGAAGTGTTTGAAATTGTCTGCAAATAAGGGGGGTGATGGAGTTGATGGATTGGAATGATCACTTGTGTTACTCCAACTCCAGCAACCACTGCTGCCATGGCTGGAAGGTGCACACCCAGTCTCTTTGCATGATCCAGTCACATCTGCCAATAGAAGGTTTACAGTATATATACATGGTCACTAGAGAGGCAGTTAGAGATGTCAACAGGAATCATTAAAGTTGAACTTTGTAAAATCGAGACAGAGTATCTAAAAGGTAAGTGGAAAACGTTCTGCTGCGTTCTCCGTATAGTGTTATATTGGTAGATTAGTAAAAAAAAAAAGATAAAATATTTGTTGAAAAAACTTAAAGTGACACTAAACTCAGGAGTTAAATCTTAAAAATGCATTCAAGTACCTTAACGATTAACAATACTGTACTGTACCTTTCTTGTGCTTCACTCGGCTGTAGATCCTCAAATCATCTCTAAATTCGTGCTGACACTGTCCTTCCTTGAAACTTGAGATTACTGTCCATCATGGCAGCGAGCTTGGAGTAGTGGCTACTTTACAACACACACAGGGACCATGGGGAACAAACTTAGGCACCCTCCAGAACGAAGGACAGTGTCAGCACCAATTCAGAGATGATTTGGGAATCTTCAGCTGAGTGAAACACAAATAAGCTACATTTTTGGTAATAGTTGAGGCACTTGAATGCATTTTTTAAATTTAACTCCTAAGTTTAGTGTTACTTAAAAATAAAATTGACCCAAAACCATTATGACGCCCTTTTAAATGGCAGTAAGCAATATGTTAATATTTTGGACGCATGAAACAAAACAGGGGCATCTGAAAACCAGCAAAATATCATTATCCAGCCATGTGAAACATACAATGTCACCTATTGTCAAAATAAAATGCTGTGCCTGCTGGCACAGGTTTGTACCTGAAATGGCTGTGGTATAGAAGTGTTTACATGTGCAGTTGTAAGTGATTAATGTGTATTTTGATGTTGTTTTTCTCACCGATGAGCGCAGGAAGCACACTTCAAAAGGCACCTTTATCACTGCATATGGTTTCAACATGTTTGTAAACTATGCAAGTGAGTCCTCTGTTATCAGCAGGTTCTAATAAGGCCATACTCATCGTTGGCTCTATTGGTATCGAGTCATTTCTTTCCTTTTTGCACTGGCTGTGAATTCCCCATCCAACATGTATCTTTCTAGCTAGTTTGAAATGTATACATTGCTTGTTATTATTTCTCTTTACATAATTTAGGAGAGTAATATGTCCTTCTGTAAACACTACATACCAGTAAGTTGAACGGCAGGGCTCTGAACCAAAGGACTTGTAGACAAGCTGGTTAGTACCATAGCAGCTGTCACTTTATCCATGTCTATCTCTTCATATCTCCTAGAAGACACAGGAACATATATTACTTGTAATGTGCAGCCTACATTCATCAATGCCGACTCAACAAGTCAAAGTGAATTAACCATCAACTTTAAAGCACATAAACTTGGCAACAGACATAAAGTTACAAATTGACTTTGGATAAACCATTTTGCCCTGCTGCTGTCATAAATAATTAAAACCCTAAAACACTTACCTGATTACTGGCTGTTGGCTCCCTCCCTGTCCAACCTACTGTCTCAGAGAACGCACCTTGGGCCTGGGAAAAAGAAGCGTCAAGGAACCAGCAACTTGTTGGATCAGGAGGGAGCATGTGCCAATGCACAGCTAAATGTACGGAGGAGCAACGACTTCTACCCAAGAGATCAAGTTGTCTTCAAGCTTTGGTATCCCAAGCAGCAGCAAAATGTTCATGAAGTTTCACAACTTATGGCATGGCTGGCTGGGTCAAGATGAGACCTCAAACTATCCCAATAGATTTGCCGTAAAAGAGCTTTAAAACAAAAACATCCCTGACCTCTATAGCTGCTTTTAAAAGAGGGATTTCACCCATACCCACTATCCTTTATTTTTGATCTTCTGAAATTCTTTCACAAAGATCACATCAAAGGCTCCAACAAATTAGACACACCATCTGTTTTTTTTAATATATATTATTTTTTATATGTAGCACTCACTCCCGAAGGAGCAGCTGAGTATGAAATGGGTTCTCCTACCTGTTTGTTCCAGCCACCGGTCCCCTTTGTTCTGCAACAGCACAGCGACACTCACGGACAGAATGGACTCAAGTCTCAGGGTCTTTTGGGGTATTTATTTGCAGATTTAACAGGAGAGAGAGGGTTTAGGATCTGTAGGATGCCCTGACTGATTCTTCAGAGGACAGCTTTCTCCCCTAGCAACCGCTAAGGCCGATAGCACTGTGATCTGGTCCCAAGGACCAATAGTATTAGCAATACTGCGAACAGCCAGGAGGGTCCAGTAACTTATAAAGAGAAGGTTAGCTATCTCTGGACTCAGGTAAGGACCGCTGGCTTCTTCTAGAACCGATACCTGGAATAGGGTGAGGGATCACTCTTGTGGGTCCCAGACGGACGCTCTCACCAGCTCCTCTGCGGTACCTCTCAACAAGAAGACTCTCCCTCCGGCCCAGCTTCCATCAGGTCTTTTCCTCTTCAGTGTCTGGAATCTCTGTGCCCTCAGCATCTGCAACTGCCAAGGAGCACTCCAGATTAGTAGTAGTATCCTCTTAGAACAAGGCACCCAACACCTGCCACGTGTATGGGGCCCAAGCAAAGTTCCTATGGTGTCCTAGGCCTCCAGGCCCCCAGCACCTGCCATGTGCTGAGGCCCAGGCCATTTGCTTGCATCACACAGACCTCCTAGGGTGAGGCCCTAGGAGGGGAAGAGACCTCTGCACAGTATCCCCAGACCCTTTATTACCTACCCACAACCATGCCTCTGAGTCATCCTACTCAGGGATTGGTCAGGGTCAGGTGCATGGTCATAGTCTGAGGATGGATCCTCCCTCACTGTATGCCAAGGCTCCCTTTTCCTCAGCAATAAGAGGAGCAATCAATCCAGCAGACTCAAGGACACCTATGGAATGCAGAGCTCTGAATAATCAGTATCTAGACTGGTTACAGTCCAGACATTCTCTAGATTTAGTAGTGACAGTTTAGAGGGCGCTACACTCTCCCCCTACTTAAAAATGGCCTTGTCCTCATAGGCCAGGAACAAAAACTGCTCTTAATCCTAAGAGCTGGGCATCCTACAGCAAAAGTGGATGGGGAAGGGTAAAAAGGGTAAACTGCCAACAGGTAGTTTTACACATGTAAACAGACTGCCAGAGGTAATAACAGTTGTGAAATTCACAGTTAAGTTGCATATCAATGGTTGTCAAAGTAATATCTCAGTAGTGTAATAGTAGCTCTCACCGTGCAAATCAGCCGCTCAGTGACAGGTACTCTTACATGAGCAAGGTCATATCAAATGTATCAGGAGTAGGTCCCTACAACTGACTATCTAGTAGTAATAGAATCAATTAGGTCAAACTTCACAAATAGTGCAAGGTAGTTTGCTTGAAGTGCAGATCTCTGGGTTACATCACCTACAGAGGAATAAACAAATACCAGGCAATATACACATTCTCTAGTATCAAAGCCTTGAAATATCATTCGCTTGAGAATGATCTTTCAAGATATACATATTTTCATCACATTTCAATTGAACAGTAGTGCTTGTAATACTTGACTATTCGGTGACTATTCAGTAACTTAAAGTCCATCCTTCTACTGCCATCTAGAGGTGAAAGAAATTAGTGCATCAAATAAATGTCTGCAATAAGAGACTGTAGGTTTTGATCACGAAGATCTCTGCTAGAATCCTGAAACAGAACAGAGAAATAGCATCCTATCTGACTATATAGCTATGGGCGGCCAAACCACAGTATACATTTAGTCCATTTACACACAAGAGTTCTTCTTGGTAGAAAAAAACCCGTTACGAAAAAAATCAACCGTCGCAAGCTGTCCTGAGCTATATCTGCCTAACCAAAGGGTCCAGCAAGCTGTAACAAAGGCAGAGGAGCCCCTCCACAATCCAGTAGTGACACATCACAAACTGAGGTAACTTCATTCAGTATTGGATAAATTCAGACTTGTCTGCCACCTAACTTAGGCAGAGTCCAGTCAATGTACAACAGGAAATTTTTTTTAAAAAACAGCAAACAGTAGGGTGAAGGGCAACTGAAGGCAGAATGCTCACTTGTAGAAGTGTGGATCTGGAACTTGCACCATCCTGCCTTTGGAATCAAATATGTTAGTGGAATATTCTTGATCCTTGCGACCAGCCTTTACCACCACCACTTTATCTTTGAAAATGTAACGCCCCAGGCTCCAGCTCTGCCTGCAGCACAGGAACTTTTCCCAGAACTTTGTGTAACTTGCATTCCTGCAGGGTTTGGGCACTCCCAAACCTCGTTATCACACCAAGCATTTCTCTTGACTTCTATCTCTTCCATCACAGCTTTAGGCACATAGGGGTACTCATATCCATACTCGAGAGTGACCCTCTTATTCACAATTCTCTGAAGTCTGGACAGTCTCGGTAGCTCATCCACATTCCCCTTTTCCTGTCGGGACACATGAATCCCGAGCCCTCTCAATTAGGTCTTTATGGGCCTCATTGTGTGCCACCGCTTGTTTATAGGTGCGGGGTGGCGAAGATTCGAGCCACCGCTCGTAGTAGGCCGGATGAAATCCCAGTCCCCTGGCACTTTGTATGATCTGGGCACTATCCACCCGGTCCTCCTCTGCTGGTTCTGTAACTTTTTCAGGGAGTTCGTCTTCCGCTAGCTCTCCCCATGACCTGTCTATCTGAGGTAGCTCTGAGGTCTCCCCCTCCTTAATGTACCGCTCCAGCTGTTCTGTACTACAGGGGTTCCCCTCTGGCTCTGGTTCTGGCTGGGATGTTCCTATCTCCGATCCCCCACCACTAGCAACCCCAGAGGTCTCACCTTCCTGCAGACACGGATCTCCGAACGAGCTGGCAGGTGCATCCAATTTCTTCAGCAGTCCGATCAAGGCCCCTCGACCGCAGGAGTGGCCGATCAGATTCTGCCCTTGTGTAGATGAATTGTAACTGTTGTCGGCATCGGTGTGGTAGTGGATGGAAGTTGAGGCAGGTACCTCACAGCCGCGGGTCTGCTCAATTCCTTTGCCTCCCCCAATCCACCCGGTACACACTCGGTGGTAGGTCCGATGCGATGAGTTCCGTGACGCAATCTCCACAGCAGTCACAGCGACTCCATGCTTTGATGAGTGCAGAGAGTTTCCCGCACTTTCCGCAGGTAACGGCCAGGTGCTCGGTTCCTCTGATACTGCATAACGCCACTTCACCTCTGAGGGACATCCTCACTCCGGTGTCAGTTAATGTGGCCAAGCTGGAACTCAGTTCTCCATTCCATCGACTCATGTACACTGGGTCCGGTGGGCTTGGAAACGACTGAACTCTCCATGAAGCTGTATTGCTCCATCTCTCCTGCTCCACGTGGGCCGTCTTCCCCTGCAGACTGCTCGCGTATGCACAGGTCAGTAGCTCCGCCTTCTTATCACCGTTCTGGCGCCACAGCTTCCCGCCGGAAGGTTTCCTGCACAATCAACCCTCGGGTTGCTGGCAGAAAGTGATTAGGTACTAGAAGACCCTCTTTCCTGTAATATGGCTCTCTTACATCAATATACTCTGTAACAGTCCTTTCTTGGGTTCCCAAAAAAAAGACAGTTCACAAAATACTTGAAAACGCAAAATAGCCCCTCGCCAACACCCCACTCCCCCAACGCGATGGCGCAGTGCCGGATGAATGAAGATGGCAGTGAACAGAGAAGCCAATGCCTCCTAGGATATGTGATGTCAGTATCTCAGGAGACTGCAGTAGAAGGCTTCACACTAAGAAAGGAGGTAGTAGAAGGAGAATTGGAAAGAATGAGGTGAGGTAAAGATGAGAATCATAAAAGGAGTGACAGAGGAGAGAAGAATATGGCAGTATATAAACAGTAATAAGTGAGCCACATTGCCCAACCTAATGAGTGACACTCACAATTGGGTTTTCATCATATTATAACCTATACAGTAAGGACTGGCTCTTTCTAGTAGGCACATCAGCTGGCTACCCTTTCCCTTTCTTATTACTTAAAGTGACATTAAACCCTCAGATTTTTTAACATAAACCAATATGTTAACAAATCTGAGGGTTTAATGTCACTTTAAGCTTTGTAAAAGGAGTCTTGCCATTCCACATGAAAAAACTTTCAAGGTGGTATGAGGTCCTTTCTCTGATCAGTCTGCTCTCTCCTCGTGTCAGAATGCTGCTTGTCAACACATGTGCACTGCAAGAGAGCCCGACTGGATCTGAGTGTTGCCCCTCCCTCTTCCAATTTAATTGCTGTTGTATAGGGGATTACACACCCTTTCCTACATGAACACCTAACCATCTCTTTAAAAAT